TGACCAACTCCCCTCAGCCTCTGCCCCCACCCCCACCACTGCCCCCTACAGCCCAGCCTCTGCCCTTGGCACCTCGCCAGCCAGCCCTGGTTAGCACCCCTGGACTCAGCATTAAGGATTCTGCTCCCCTGCCCACCAGGCCACAGGTGCCCACCCCTGCACCCCTACTGCAAGACTCCAAGCCCACTGGCAGCCCCAAGCCTTTGCAGCCCCTCCCCACACCCATCCTGACCATAGCACCACACCCTGGAGTCCAGCCCCAGCTGGCCCCCCAGCAGCCACCCCCACCCACCCTTGGGACCCTGAAGTTGGCACCAGCTGAAGAGGTCAAATCCAGCGAACAAAAGAAGAGGCCTGGGGGGTGAGTGAGGTGTGGCAGAGCTGGGGCTGGTGGAATGGAGAGAAGTGCCCATCCCCTGGGGTGTGTGTACAAGAGAAAGTACCCTCCCAAGCTAGCCCTTCAGAACCCTGCCCTCCCTACCTCTCCAACCGAAAAGCACCCTCCTATATTTGGACACATTCTCACTGTGCCTGTGCCCATCCCGGGAGTGGGGGATGGCTATTGCCCTCTGTTGTTCTCAGGCTTCTGTGTTCTATGATTCTGTCCAAGGTTGGGACTGATAGCATTTGTAGGCCTTTGGAAAGAGTGTTATATTATGGCCCTCCTGGGTGAGGGCTGGGGTCAATTGGATCTTTGAGTCCGAGGAGGAGTTCTGTCTCAGAGGTGGAGAGGTGGGATGGAGGGTTAAAGGGGTTGTGAATTATGAGCATATATGTGCCCTCCACGGGGTGAATGCACCAGGGCACTGGATGAACATCTCCCCTTGTTGCTTTTAAAGGGAGATACATTCAGGAGCAAAAACCCTGTGGCATTTGGGGGGTGGGGGCAGGAAGGCCGCCTACTCAGGCCCTCCTCCCTGAGCCTCCTGTCTGTCTGGGTTGCAGGATCGGAACCAGAGAAGTCCACAACAAATTGGAGAAGAACAGGTGTGTGTGCGTGCGTGCGATCTGGTGCTACCCTTGGTCCCCCAAGCTCTCCGTGGCCTTCCCTCCCCTCCCCCACCGAGCCCCCACCCGTCTGGCGCGGGCTGACCAGCGATGCTCGCCCTCCTCTCCTCAGGAGGGCCCATCTGAAGGAATGCTTTGAGACCCTGAAGCGCAATATCCCCAACGTGGACGACAAGAAGACATCGAATCTGAGCGTGTTGCGGACGGCACTGCGGTACATCCAGGTATGGGGGAGGGAGGCCTAGCGGAGAAGAGGCGGGCGGCGGCGCGGGCGAGGC